TCAGAAACTGAATGAGATTAATGTCCGAAATCAATACCCACTGCCACTGATCTCCGAGCTGGTCCATAATCTATGCGGCGCCAAGCTCTTCACAAAGCTTGACATCCGGTGGGGATACAACAATGTACAGATCAAAGAGGGCGATGAGTGGAAGGCTGCATTCTGCACAAACCGCAGACTGTATGAGCCCTTGGTCATGTTCTCTGGTCTCACGAACTCCCCGGCAACCTTTCAAAACATGATGAACAACATACTCCGAGAACTGATCAACGAGGGTCACGTGGTAGTCTGTCTTGACAATATATTGATCTTCACAGAAACCTTGGACGAACATTGGCGGATCACAAAGCGAGTACTCAGATTGCTCCTACACAAGTTGTACCTGAAAACCAAAAAGTGCAAGTTTGAACACATGGAGATCAAATATTTGGGTGTAATTATTGGACACAATTCAATGCGGATGGACGCAGTCAAGATCAAGGGTGTGATGGAATGGCCTGAACCAAAGAGTGTCAAACAGGTCCAAGCATTCCTAGGGTTCACCAACTTCTATCGACACTTTGTCCGGGGATATGTGGAGGTGGTGAAGCTGTTGACATGGCTGACGGGGAATCAGGATGGTCATGGGGTGAAGACAAACATGCAGCATTTGACGGGCTGAAGAAGAGAATTGTGGAGGATGCTGTCCTAGCACTGCCAAACAACATGGGCCAATATTGTCTGGAAGCTGATGCTTCGGAAGGGGCTACAGGTTCTGTTTTGAGCCAAAAACAAGACAACATTTGGCAACCAATCACGTTGATTTCACATGCATTGACCAAAACCAAGCAGAATTAAGAGATCTACGTCAAGGAAATGCTTGCAATCATGCTATCATTGGACGAATGGAGGCAGTTACTCCTGGGAGCCACCAAAACATTTGAGATCTTCACCAATCATCAGAATCTTGAGTACTTCCAAAAGCCGCAGAAGCTCAACCAACGGCAAGCATGATGGATCACAGAGTTGGCAGAGTTTGATTTCACGTTACAACACCGGCCTGGTGCACTCAACTGCAAGGCGGATCTCTTATCTTGATGAGCGGATCACGACCAGGGCAAGAATGACAACAAGGACGTCACCCTGCTGAAGCCCAAGTTCTTCCGATTGCAAGGAGTCACATTCGAAGGGCAAGATCAGCAGCTGATTGATGAGATCAAGGCTGTTTGATTGTTTGATGGAAGCATCAAGGCAGCCTTGGAGAAGTCACTTGTTGGATGGAAAAGGAAGATGGGCTCATCACGTATCATGGGAAGCTCTATGTACCGAGGGACAAGGAGTTGCGGGACAAGATCATTGGACTAAACCACAACACACCCCTAGTTGGACACACAGGGATCAAGGGAATGCAGGAAATGGTGGAAAGGAACTACTGGTGGCCTAGGATGGGAAACCAAATTTGGAAATACATCCAGACGTGCGAGGCATGCCAACAGACCAAGACCAGAAGAGCAAGGATGGGGACTCTGCACCCGCATGCAGTTCCAAATGCACCATGGGAAATCATCTCAATGGATCAAATTGGACCCTTGCTAGTCAGTAACAGGTATGACACAATGCATGTGTGGTGTGACACCTTCACCAAAATGATCCATGTCGAACCAATTAGTACTGAGATCAGCAGCAAAGGAGTAGCACGGTTGACAAGGGACCGGGTCTTCCGCTATCACGGGATCCCTTGCAAGATCATCACTGACAGGGACTCATGATACATCAAGGGCTTCATGAAGGAGACAAATCTGATGTTGGGTGTGGAAATGAATCCAGGGACTGCATATCACCCAATCACGGTGAAATGCTGAGGGCACGCTCACAGGTGAATCTACTATGAAAGTCAGCCACATTGCTGTTGAGTACGTTAAGGAACTTTGCCAGGTCGTGCTCCTTGTCTCCACCTGTGGAGGTGATGCAGGTGTTGGGCCAATCCTTCCACCGAGATCCGACATACATCGAGGGAAGGTGGCAAACAATTTGATCAACTGGCTTGGGCAGGGAGTCTTCGGGAAACAGGATATTGAGAAATGCGTCAGCGGGAATCTTGGTGAAAGTGCAGTCTTTGAGCTCAGCTACGAGCAAGGGGTCCACCGTCTTTGTATTCAGATTCGGTTCCAATATGGAGGCCAGTCTTGGCAGCTGTGAATCTTGCGTAAACTGGGCGGGCCCGGCAGGGGCAGAGGGGGCCAAGGTGCTGGCAAGACAACAATAACAAACAAACCTCTACAGTAAGTGGACAAAATGAATGCATGATCAGTTCTCTTTGATTATAATTGGGCTTTCTAGGCTCTTAGAGCTCATTCCAGCTAAAGGTCTCCAAGAATAAACTGCAGCCTTGGCCTATGGAATACTCCACTGTACCCATGCTGTGGTTGTAAAGGTATTGTAGAGATTTGCTACTAATGATCATTTACTGGTTTTACACTAAAGACAACATTGCGCTCCTGTGGCCAGTCTTTGGTCCTGACTTGGATATCATCTGGCACATGGAGGACTCTCTCAATCATAAAGTGAAAGGTCAGCACCCACTGCCCTTATGTAAGGAAGATTCTTGGCAGGTTAGGCTCAGTTGAACATGGTCAATATTTTCTTACTGTATAGCTTGTGTCCAAGAAATTGTATATGAGTAGCCAGACAAAGGACAGCAACACACACTACGAGTTTGTTATGTATCTCTACTAATGTTACCTGTTGCATGAGGCCGCACTTTCTGTCAAATACAAGGCAAAATAGTATGGACTTGTAAGTACTATTTCTTAGTCCACTGTGATCTGGAGTTCTAGATATTCTGCCCATGGTAACTAATGGTATTCAATTATATTTGGTTCCAATTGACACTTGGGCAGTATCACCTCTGTGAGCCGGGACAATCAAACAACCAATCAGTCAATCATTTTGTCCACGTTGTCCGTTGGTACTACACTGAACATGGACATGCCCTTTGCCCATCGAGCTTTGCCCTCCTCAACAGTGCTCTTGACATATGTCCGACACCCATTCTCCAGAAAACAAAAGAGTCCGCCAGCAGAGTACTGCATAATAGAGAGTCTATGCTCTTGTTCCTGAATGGGCATGTTTGAGTGTTCAAGGGTAGCGGATGGGATGAGTATGGTCGAGGCTGGTGGAAATCGCACAATCAGCTGGAGGTTCCACAATATGATGTGACTGCCCTTGTTGTCAGGGGACGCCACACTCCTTGGGCACGTGACCATGCACGTGACCCACTGCTCCCTCTCTGCCGACCCGCGCCTGCTCACCTGTCAATCACCCAGCCTCCTCCTCCTCCTCCAATCCTCATCTCCATCCATGCCAACATCCGCCCTCTTCCTCCTTCCCCTGGCCATCTCCCTCAAATCCCTGCAAGCAGTCTAGCCAAGCCCAATTCCTTGCACCAGGGAGTGCCACTGCCGTACGCACTCCTCCCCCTTCACTTCGGCCTTCTCCCCGCGGATGTGGTCTACTGCCGTACAGGCTCGTACCAGATGCCCTTGCGCTCATCTGCACCACCCCTCGTCCCAGTTGGGCATTGGTCCTTGCCTCCGATGTCTCCACTGGCTGGCCCGGCACTGGCCTAGCCACTGGGCTCCTCCAGTGTGGCCTTCCACTGTTGGTGTCTCAGGAGCTGGCCATCACTGGCCCCTCTGAGCCACTCACTATCTTATCTGGGTTTTTCATCATCTACTTGCATCTGCCATTGTTCCATGCAGTGATATCCTATCATCATCAGTCACTTGTCACAGCTGACTATATAGTGTGACACCTGGGCACATGGATCCTTGAACTGTTCTCTAAGGATCCCCCTCTGTGCTCAGGTGAGTAGTATACCTCCCTTGTATTTGATGGTCTCTAAGGATCCCCCTCTGTGCTCAGACTCATGTGAGGTTGTTGTATGCTGTGTGCTCTCTTCCTTCGGGCTGGCAGGAGTTGCCCTTACAGTCGTTGCAGTCGAACAAACCCAAGGCAGTGATTGCACACCAGCCCCACACAAGGTTGGCAAAATCAAGGTGAGGCATGGTGATGGTGTTGGGACCTCCGTTGAACGTGCAGGCAGCAAATACGCCGCCCGCAAAGTTCCAGGCAAGCCCAGATCCCCACGAGCAGAGCTTGTTCATTCAAAGGGAGTGGTACAACCAAAGGAGGGGTGCAAACATTTGGAAGAGACCTGAGTAAATATCGGCGACTGATTTGTGTGGAAAGAGGAACTTAGAATTTGTAAAGCCGACAATCCTTTTGACGTCCGGATGCGCAAGCAAACAATCAGCAGCTTTGGCATTAGCTTGGCTGTTGAGCAGATTGGCAGGCTGCTGCTGCCCTCCTCCAAATAAAATGCCAACAGCAAGAGCAGGGAAGCCCTTCCTGGCAGCCCAACGGTGGTGCCAATCACACCGGGGGATCATTACAGCTCTTTGCGGAACATAAGGCGCGGATCGAAATTCTTATCAGAATTTTGATGCTGGGACTGTTACCCCATTATCTCGCTCAATTCTGCGTTTTACAGGCTCGGACAGGGCACAAATGGACAGGGCAATAGTTCCGCGTTGCTCTGGCTACATACTTTGTCAATACAGTGTCAGTTCGGGGTCTGGTGACATTCTGTCACACTTTCACAGTGTTGTCCCAAGATCGGGCCAATCTGAGCCCACAGAGCCTCGAAACGACTTTCCGTGAGCTTCGATAGAGTTCGGAAAATGCCTAGACTCGGTCAGAAAACTTGTAAGTCCCTGGAAACAAAGTTCGACCCAGACATGCTCTCTGGGACTGTTTCCACGAGAACTCAACATCTGCTGGGCGGATTTTGCTCAAAATTGAATGGCGGGCTCGGGTAAACGCTCTCGAATGACCTTTATGCTCCAAGTCCGATAATCGTGTACAGGACAAGAATGTACATCGTAGGTCTATGCAATCACCTCGAGTCACAGTGTGTGCTTGTGACCATCACAATCACGTCTCTCTTCGTGTCCACCGCCATGCCCCGCAAGCGTCCTGCTGAGCCCGCTCGGCGGCAGTACTCCCGGGATCTACGCAGGAGAGTAATCTATCAGGCCAATATCCTCGGAAAGAAGACGACCAATATTGCCATTGACCTTGACATGCCGGTGCGTGTTGTGCAGCGAATCTGCAAGACTTGGGCAGATATCGGGGATGTGTGTCGAGAGAGGCGGTATAAGGGGAGGCGTCCCTTGCTGGACCCGGAACAAACCCAGGTATGTTCATTCTATCTCTTGCAGGATTCGCTGACACTCACAGTTTCTTGTTGCACTCCTTGACCACTCTCCCGACATGTACCTCGATGAGATGCAGCTACAGCTTCTTGATCAACACAACCTTGATGTGTCCCTTGCAACTATCAGTCGGACACTTCATCGTCTTGGTTACAGCAACAAGAAGGTAAGTTCGTGCCATTCTATCTGGAAAGTGGCTGATCATTTGGAGCTTTCTCGCACTGCATCCGAACGCTGCGCAGCAACACGACGAGACTTTCTGTTACAGGTCTATCGCGAGTCTGCTGACCGCTTTGTTTGTGCTGATGAATCCGCTGTCAATGTATTGACATCCTATCGAAAGAATGGATGGAGTATGCAAAGTTTACGGGCTCGCAAGCGCTGCAACTTTGTCCGTGGTACTCGGTGAGCATCATCATTGGCTTATTCATTGGCTTATCTCCTTTAGCTACTCCCTTCTTCCCGCATTGACCACCAAGGGATTGATCTACAGTCACGTCAAGCTTGGCGGCTACAACGGCGACCAATTTCTTCTCTGGCTTGAGGGCTTGTTGCGAGTCATGAATCCCTACCCTCAGAAACACAGCATCCTTGTTCTTGACAACTGTCGCATTCACCATGTTGAAGGCGTAGAAGAGATGTGTGAGCAAGCGTACGTCATTCCCTTTGAATTCTCTTGCAAACTCAGTGCTCTTTCCAGAGGCATCAAACTGATCTTCCTGCCTGCTTACTCTCCCGACCTAAACCCTATTGAGGAGTGTTTCGGTTGGATCAAGGCGTACATAGCTCGTAATGGGCATACGTTCCGTAACATTGTCGAGAATGGTGATGCTAATGCGCCGTTTCTATTTCTGTACCATGTGCTTGATCTAGTGAGAGCGGAGGACGCACTCTCGTGGTTCACTCACTCGGGCTATTAGTTGACATTCATACACACTGTAAGAGTACAATGTAGCGAGAATAGCCATGAATCTTCTTACCCTCTGCGAGCACGCTTGACGCGCTTGATCTCCGCAGTCACTTGCTCCCAAAGGAACGAAGCATTGCCGTGCGTCATATCCATCTTTTGTTCCAGCTTCTCAACAGTCCAGAAGCTCAGAATCTCATCAATGTGGTACACATTCATCGCGTCAAAGGTGATGATGTAGTCTGACGGCCTCCGGCGTGGATGCTTGCTATGGAGACGCTCGAGGAACTCAGCAAGCTCTGGGTATGGGTTGGCCGCCTCAAACTCTGGAGGGTCACTAGACAGCAAGGTATCCCGGGTGCTCCGGCTTGACGTCCAGGGAGTTCCGTTGTGAGCAGGGGTCCCAGGTGTTATCGGCATGGCTGATGGTGTCCCCATGCCCCATGGAACAAATCCGTAGGGTGCTGGCGTACCCACAAACGGGTACAGTCGTTGGCTCACTGCGAGCAGACTTGCGGAACATTGCAAACATGTCATTGCGTGGCAGTGTGTCAAGCGTCACACCATGCGTGTTGACAGCCTGAGTATGAAGTGAGCAAACAATCACGCTTCCATGGTGCAGCGTACCAATGCATGTGCCCACGCACCCTGCTGTCCATTGGAGAGAATGTGATGCCGCCCAAATGCGTCAATCTTGCATAGCTTGCCTGGGCCACAGACTTGGCAGTGCCCGTGCTTGTTCTGGAGCTGCTCGAGGAACTTGTGCTCGCGGTCCATTGATCCCAGGCCCTCGTCGAAGTCATCGTCTCCAGAACCAGCGTGATCGAGATCAAGAAGGAGGAGGCCCTTGCGCTTCTTATTGCCCACAGTTGTGGTGGATTTTGTACCAAGTTTTGCACGAAGAGACTCCAGATACTGTGATAATCAGTCAAATGATGGAGTGCCCTCAGTCAAGACGCACACGATCTGGTCCGATGATGATTGTAACCTTCACGCTTCGCTTCCCACCCTTCTCTGCTTCTAAAACATCATCCAGGCATCCTTCCCAATCCATCTGCGAGGCCAGACTGACTGGCGGCTCTTTGGCAGTCATAGTGCTGAGCTTGTATGCCAGAGTCGGCTTCACAGCCACATCGACACAGCCGACAGTCATATGAATTGTCTTGAGTGCCTCGATGAAGCTGGTGTTGTGCGCCAGGATGATCCGCTGTGTTCCCTCAGTGTTGAGACGTGGGACCATCAAGACAAGCTCTGCATGCATGCTCGGTAGGTGCATATAAAGAGGGAGCAAAACGACGCACTATGGTTGCTGGGATCGGCCTCGCTCTCGGAGCTTGAGTCCTGCTTCTTCTTCCCCTTCCTGCCTGGCACCGCCTTTGGCTTTGGCTTCGCTTTTACTTTTCTGCTCTTCGCTCTGGCCTTCACCACAATCGGGTCGTCTTCATCCTGTGAATCGGTTGGTGGATCCAACTGCTGCTCCCGCCCTCTCTGCTTCTTCCAAGGGCGCTCTATGCCTTTGAGAGCCTCAAGCAGGCCATCCTCTGCTTCCTTGGTGACCGGTGGGTGTGAAGGCACAGACGGGGATGGGAGTGACATGTTCCGCAGACGGCGGCCATGCTGTTTGTGCACTGGAGGGTTCGGCACCTCCTCGAGGTCCACATCATCCGCCAGCTCGTTGATCTCCTTGGATAGGGTCTCGTGTCGGTAGCTCTGCTCGTTGTCTGCCTGCTGGGGCCATTGATAGCGGCCACTATCAGTCCCAAAATCAACGTCATTGGTGAGGGTCCCGACGGAGGAGCTGGAGAGGAGAGGCTGGGGAGCCCCACGGGCACTTTTGCGGCGAGTAAACCCTGTCTTGGGTACCGTCATGGACAACGTGCGCTAGGGAGTAAAGTGTATGTCACATGGACACACACTGTGACTCGAGGTGATTGCATAGACCTACGATGTACATTCTTGTCCTGTACACGATTATCGGACTTGGAGCATAAAGGTCATTCGAGAGCGTTTACCCGAGCCCGCCATTCAATTTTGAGCAAAATCCGCCCAGCAGATGTTGAGTTCTCGTGGAAACAGTCCCAGAGAGCATGTCTGGGTCGAACTTTGTTTCCAGGGACTTACAAGTTTTCTGACCGAGTCTAGGCATTTTCCGAACTCTATCGAAGCTCACGGAAAGTCGTTTCGAGGCTCTGTGGGCTCAGATTGGCCCGATCTTGGGACAACACTGTGAAAGTGTGACAGAATGTCACCAGACCCCGAACTGACACTGTATTGACAAAGTATGTAGCCAGAGCAACGCGGAACTATTGCCCTGTCCATTTGTGCCCTGTCCGAGCCTGTAAAACGCAGAATTGAGCGAGATAATGGGGTAACAGTCCCAGCATCAAAATTCTGATAAGAATTTCGATCCGCGCCTTATGTTCCGCAAAGAGCTGTAATAGATAAACCATGTCTGGTACAGAAGCATGAGGATTAACAAATTTACCGTTCAATTCACTGCAGTACACTATGGATCTTAAGGGTATTGGACTGTAAGCTAAGCATATTGTATTGTATCGTATCAGCAGACATTCGGACGTATTCTTCAAGTATTCTATGCGTATCGTATGATCAGAACTACAGAAGAGTAATGTAAAGTAGTTCCAGTGGGCAGTGAGGACTCGATGTAGCAAGTCAAAAAAACAAGCAAAGAAAAAAAACAATCTACAAATCCCACTCCAGTGCACGCTGAGTCACGGCCCACTCAAATACCAGCAGGTGGTTCTTGAGGCTGAGGCGGTGGTTCCCGGGCACCAGCTTGCAACTCCAGTCAATGAAAGACTCAAAGCGGTGGGACGCTGGGACAGCGGATAGCGAGGCTGGGAGGAACGGGCAGCTCGCCATGTTAGGGATGCCCATGGAGGCTGATGCGACGGTGTATATGAGTGCCTTGATGTGACCGGGAACGGGGCATCCAGTGCACATGGTGTGGTGGCAATGCATCTGGTACCCACCCTGTACTGTGGTGGGCCGCAAGCAAAAGAAACACCAGCCTTGAGCCGGAAGTGGGAACCCAGCATACTTCCAATGCCGGTACTTGCGGTCGGAGAAGCTGCAGAGATTGCCCGGGCAATGGTCATAGTCGTGCTGGTCCCAAGCGTTGTTGCTGGTGATAAAACAGATTATGCAGCAGCCGGACTGCACCTGGAAGAAGTCCAGAATGCAGTTCACACGCTCCATCTTGTACGCGAGATGGAAGCAAAGAGGGGTGGTCTCAGCGGGGGGTGCAGGGAGGCCAGCAAAGATAGTGGCGGGGATTGCACAAGGGACAGAAGAGCGGCCGTGGATCACGGGCGCGCCAGGCAACACGATGTAAGCGTTGCCGAAAGGGTGTGAGGGAGCATGCATGGATGTCATGGGTGAGGTGGCAGAAACAGGATTTGTTGGTGGCAAGGGAACGGGCATGGATGGCGGGGGCGGAGCGGAGGGAGTGGACAACGGGGGCGGAGCGGAGAGAGCAGGCGAGAACGACAAAGCAGAGGGAGCAGACGAGAACAACAAAGCGGAGATGTCTGCAGTGGGTTGGTCCACGTGACTGGACCCAGCCATGCCAAAAGAGTGGGTAGCCAGGGAGGGTGTGCACAAATGAGAGAAGGCATGAGGAATTCTGCCCATAAACAACAAGGGGACAAGCCCGTGAGACGTCAGGACATACATGGGAAGCACCCCCCACCGAGCAGCCAATGCAGTTGTGGCATCGCCAGAGCCACGTGGGTGATTGCACGCCGTGGAAAAGACATTGTCAGGGGCGGGTAGCAGCTCGATGGGAACCAGCGTGTATGCGGCGGTTCTGGGGGCGGAAGGCACCATTGAGTAGGTGGGGAGACTAGACGCATCAGCAGAAACAGATGTGTCTGTAGAAGTGTCTGGGTTAGCAATTGTAGTAGCTGGCCATTCAAAAACAAGGACCGTGAGCACCACTAGGGTTAGCCTGCCCAGCTGCTGCTGGGCCTGTGGCATTGCCGTTGTTATGGGTCGATTGCATTGATGGTGGGAGGGGCAGAAAGAAGAGTGGCGCAAGCAAGCAATGAGATGTGGCTTAAATAGTGAAGAGACGAGAAGATTGGGTCACACAATAGTCACAATAAGAGAAATCACAGACAAATGTCATTGCAGACTGGTCCAGTCACAGAAGATAATTTGAGTGGTTGGAGCCTTTGGAAGCAAACTACAAATGAGAACACGTCGATTCTGTGAAGGGTTACAAGAAGTAGGTACAACTAGTCCCGCTGCAAGAATGTCGCCATTGTTGTGCAGTAATTGATTAACCACTGGAATACCACAAGATAGTGCTTGAACTTGATTCCGGTAGCGTCTGGTATGTCTTCGAGGGCCCAGGTGGAGATGGCACCCAAATCACAAGACGTGTGCACATGAAGAGAAATGAGTGGGCAATTGGATAACGATGGCGTGCCGGACGCACCCGAGAAGAAGACAAAGAGCGCGGCCTTGATAATCCCGGCATTGACACAAGGCACATCCACTGTCTCAACCCACTCGTGGGTTTGGAAATCGCCAAGCTTAACCTGGAGTAGTGTGTCAGACCCAGCCTGTGAAATGAGAAGGAACGATGACATACCTGAGGACGCAGACAGTGGAAGCACCACCCCTGCATCGCTCAAAATGTGTCAAGCTTCCAATGCTGGATGCCCTCATCTGCTGCCGTAGCAAGCTGCATCCCGCAGTGGTCCAGGGAATGTGAATCCCAATCAGAGAGTTGCCGCACGAAGCACAAAACGCAGCTCTCATTTGTGCGCATTTGAGATAGGGTGGCGTCTATGTTGCGGAAAGATGCTGCCAGTTCTTGCATTCATTGTTCTCGAGCTTTCTGCTGGACCAGAATAGCGAAAGCGCCGGATTTGACAGAGCGTGGTGCATGTGGTCCCCCACTCGCTTGGGGCAGGCCGCGCAAAGGATGATCAGGGTGAATGGGCGGCGAATTTTGCGCACTGGGTGAGACACTTTGTGCTGGCCCTTTTGGCAGGGATTGAGACTCAGCCACAGTGCAGAGCCTGTTGGGAAGAGGCACAACAGGGTGCAGAATGCCGGACTTGGGCCCAAGCTCAGAGTACAGTAGTTTGTGAATATCTGTGACGGGCATGAGTTGATTACATGCTTTCATGCAAGGAACCTTACTTACCTGCGCAGCGTGCCAGGGCAGACTGGCGCGTAACAGAGGAGACTTGAATGGGAAAGAGATTGGCGATGTCTTCAACGGTCAATGCGACAGGCATCGACTGAGACTGGTGCGGTGCCAGCTCCAGTGACTGAATGGAGCAGAGGTCACAAAATCAAGCACCAGGGAGAGCACCACATGTGACGCCTACGCCATCCAGAAATATGGCTGAAAGCAGTCGGCAACATAATGGCAGAAAGAGCCAAGGAAGGAGGTATTGCGCGCCCAGGAGAAGCTGTCGCTTGTCAGCTCACCTTGGACACCCCAAAATCCTACCTCGAGAGGTACCTTTTTGAGGCCCAAACAAGGTACCTCAGTGGTAGTGGGGGGCTGTGGGCTGGGCAGATGTGGGGGGGCCCATGGGCGGCTCTGGGCAGCTCTGGGGGGGCCCACCCCAGACCCTACCTGGCACGTTAGTGCCCAAAAAAAAAAGCATTTTTTGACCTCAAAATTGCCTATTTTAGAAGATTCTGAGACACTTGGCCAGAACTGGAAATCAGGATCGGGTATTGCTTAAAAATAGAATGTAGCGCAATGCATCCAGCTATAAGCTATAACGAGCCAGTGTAGTAGTTTTAAATATAGCACTTTCTTTTCAGGCTAGGTTTACCCATTTTTGCACAAAACTTTGTTCTACATCATTTTCCAAGTGATGTCATCATGTGGACTGTTTTGGATGCTGCGCTCTAACAAGTGATCTGATCACCCATGTGTATAGGTGAAACTTGTTCAGTTTTGCGAGGGCTACAACTTTGATTTCCCATCATTTTCTTTGTCAGCATCAGTCACATGCTTCATTGCCATGTGGAATGGCACTGCTTTTGATCTTCCATCAATTTTTGATGATACTGATGATGCAAATCTCAATCTCATCTTATCTGTCAGACCCATATTGATGGTATCTGCTTAAGGTATGCCGCATGAGGATCCAGGGACCCTTAGTAAGCAGTGCGTGACAGTCATGTGACGTTCAAATTCACAGTCCGAAAAACGTAGCCCTTCTTTTCGGTGTCATTATGGACATGTATGCACCCAATGTGATCCAAAATGGGTGTCCGAAGGATAATTGAATTTCTTTACGGCTACTATGACTATAGAAGGGGATCTCAACGCCGGCAGCACCGCCACTTCCTAATTGGGACGTCACGTGAATGGTCAAATCTTCCGACCCAAAATTTAAAGATGCTCAGTTCAGTTGGAAATCACTTTCTACAATAAAAGAAAACTTTTGATGCAGAATTCTTGAACCTCACATCACGCTCTCCAGGAGGCAAAATAAAAAATTCTACTCACATAGCAGGTGTGCTAAAGGCCTCCAGAAACACCCCATGTGAGTACTTTAGCTATATTCCCTCCGTGGCCGTCGTCATCTTCCGTCGCTGTTTGTCACAGTGTGACGCTTACAAAGGGTCCCTGGATCCTAATGCGGCATACCTTACTCAATTGTAGTTGCTGATAATCGAATTGAAGACTTATCTAATCTTGATGCGGCTGTGTGTGATTGGATCATTATTGCAGCACGGCTTCCATTTTGGGTTGCATGTTCAAGTTACATAATCAGAATTGAACATGTTGAGCATGTGACTTCCTTTTTAGGACATTTTGATGCAACTTATAGCAACCCAAAAAGGAAATTCATCTCAATTTTGGAATAGCTCATGCTCATGGTGTGGGTTCTGCCTTGGGTTTTTAGGGTATATTCTACCATGTAATCACTTACATTTGTGCTCTTCAAAGCCACTGCATTGTTATACAATGCCTCCATATCCCAATTCTTTCAGTGATACCCTACCTAGCTTTCCATAACAACACTTGCTTCTCTAGGCACATCCCTATCTCTCTCTAACATTCTATACCTCTCAGATAATGTACTTCTGTCTTAGATCTCACAGTAGAGCCAGCCATTGTATATATAAATGCATAGTAACCATTTCCAACCCATCTTGCTTTGATACATAACCAGTGGTTTCTACACCCCCAATTCACATCAGTCATGCTTTCATTATTACAAAGAAGAGTCAGTGAGATTGATATGGACATAGAAACAAGAATACAGTGGAAGCAATGGTAACAGGTGGAAAATCAAAGTGCCCTTTGTAATGCAGGTATTCTTGCTCCCATGACTCAAAGCAAGGTTTCACTTTATTGTACCAACCATTTCGGAAAATTTCCGCACTTCATTGATCTAAAAATCAGGCTGTATCTGTTTCATTTAGGTGCATGTACTTTTACATTGTAAGTGGAATAGGGACTCTCTGGGTGAATTCCACGCCCCCCTGACCATTGCAATGAGTTTTTGGAGTCATATTCTCCCAGAATATGAAATAGATGGCAGAGGGAAACAAAAAAGTGCAATTTCTTTCGCACTTGCATTAGTGCTACATTTCAATCTTCTTGAGGTATATCAATTCAATATCATGTTGCTTTTTACTATTCCCCTGCCATCGATTTCATATTCTGGGAGAATATGACTCCAAAAACTCATTGCAATGGTCAGGGGGGCGTGGAATTCACCCAGAGAGTCCCTATTCCACTTACAATGTAAAAGTACATGCACCTAAATGAAACAGATACAGCCTGATTTTTAGATCAATGAAGTGCGGAAATTTTCCGAAATGGTTGGTACAATAAAGTGAAACCTTGCTTTGAGTCATGGGAGCAAGAATACCTGCATTACAAAGGGCACTTTGATTTTCCACCTGTTACCATTGCTTCCACTGTATTCTTGTTTCTATGTCCATATCAATCTCACTGACTCTTCTTTGTAATAATGAAAGCATGACTGATGTGAATTGGGGGTGTAGAAACCACTGGTTATGTATCAAAGCAAGATGGGTTGGAAATGGTTACTATGCATTTATATATACAATGGCTGGCTCTACTGTGAGATCTAAGACAGAAGTACATTATCTGAGAGGTATAGAATGTTAGAGAGAGATAGGGATGTGCCTAGAGAAGCAAGTGTTGTTATGGAAAGCTAGGTAGGGTATCACTGAAAGAATTGGGATATGGAGGCATTGTATAACAATGCAGTGGCTTTGAAGAGCACAAATGTAAGTGATTACATGGTAGAATATACCCTAAAAACCCAAGGCAGAACCCACACCATGAGCATGAGCTATTCCAAAATTGAGATGAATTTCCTTTTTGGGTTGCTATAAGTTGCATCAAAATGTCCTAAAAAGGAAGTCACATGCTCAACATGTTCAATTCTGATTATGTAACTTGAACATGCAACCCAAAATGGAAGCCGTGCTGCAATAATGATCCAATCACACACAGCCGCATCAAGATTAGATAAGTCTTCAATTCGATTATCAGCAACTACAATTGAGTAAGGTATGCCGCATTAGGATCCAGGGACCCTTTGTAAGCGTCACACTGTGACAAACAGCGACGGAAGATGACGACGGCCACGGAGGGAATATAGCTAAAGTACTCACATGGGGTGTTTCTGGAGGCCTTTAGCACACCTGCTATGTGAGTAGAATTTTTTATTTTGCCTCCTGGAGAGCGTGATGTGAGGTTCAAGAATTCTGCATCAAAAGTTTTCTTTTATTGTAGAAAGTGATTTCCAACTGAACTGAGCATCTTTAAATTTTGGGTCGGAAGATTTGACCATTCACGTGACGTCCCAATTAGGAAGTGGCGGTGCTGCCGGCGTTGAGATCCCCTTCTATAGTCATAGTAGCCGTAAAGAAATTCAATTATCCTTCGGACACCCATTTTGGATCACATTGGGTGCATACATGTCCATAATGACACCGAAAAGAAGGGCTACGTTTTTCGGACTGTGAATTTGAACGTCACATGACTGTCACGCACTGCTTACTAAGGGTCCCTGGATCCTCATGCGGCATACCTTAAGCAGATACCATCAATATGGGTCTGACAGATAAGATGAGATTGAGATTTGCATCATCAGTATCATCAAAAATTGATGGAAGATCAAAAGCAGTGCCATTCCACATGGCAATGAAGCATGTGACTGATGCTGACAAAGAAAATGATGGGAAATCAAAGTTGTAGCCCTCGCAAAACTGAACAAGTTTCACCTATACACATGGGTGATCAGATCACTTGTTAGAGCGCAGCATCCAAAACAGTCCACATGATGACATCACTTGGAAAATGATGTAGAACAAAGTTTTGTGCAAAAATGGGTAAACCTAGCCTGAAAAGAAAGTGCTATATTTAAAACTACTACACTGGCTCGTTATAGCTTATAGCTGGATGCATTGCGCTACATTCTATTTTTAAGCAATACCCGATCCTGATTTCCAGTTCTGGCCAAGTGTCTCAGAATCTTCTAAAATAGGCAATTTTGAGGTCAAAAAATGCTTTTTTTTTTGGGCACTAACGTGCCAGGTAGGGTCTGGGGTGGGCCCCCCCAGAGCTGCCCAGAGCCGCCCATGGGCCCCCCCACATCTGCCCAGCCCACAGCCCCCCACTACCACTGAGGTACCTTGTTTGGGCCTCAAAAAGGTACCTCTCGAGGTAGGATTTTGGGGTGTCCAAGGTGGTCAGCTTCGGGTGCCTGTCGTTCCAAAGACACAAAAACGATTACACGTGCTGGTTTGTTGTCTTGCCCCGCTCGATTGGCCTGCTGATTGGCATCAATGATAGTGTGGGGAATGTCCAGCTGAATGACCTCCTGCACCAAGGTGTCAATACCAGCGCCCAATATTGAGGTCAAAACGATGACCTGGGTTCGACCTTCTTACCAGGCCTTGAGCGTGGCGTGGCGTAGCTCAGTGTCGATGGCAGCGTAGTAAGGCTGCACGCCTAGCTTTTCTGCGCACTTGCAAGCAACCTGCGTGCCTCGGCAGTACACGATGATTCTGTAGGAATACCCACTCATCAGGCATAAGCGCCATTGAATGTATTTGACTGCTGCCTGGACAAAGGATTTGACGTGATGGCCAGCTGAGTTGATGCGTGGTGGGTGGATGGAGACAAGGTACTCTAGATTCGAGCGCCAGGACAGCATGCAAAGGATATGCACATTGGTGAGGTCAAATGTGTCGAGAAGGGGGGATACGTGTTGAGGTCCAATAGAGCCGCTGAGCAAGGTGATCTGCACCTTGAGCTCCCGAGCAAACCGTATGATGTGCCTGATTGGCTCCCGGAAACTAGCGTCTGTGAGCACCATGTGTGCTTTGTCAACAACTAGATGCGCAAGTCTGCGCATTGTGACAAGACCCTGGAGGAAGCTACCATATGAATTAGCAGGATAGTAGCGTCAATGGAATCTGACGCACGTCATAAGATTGTCTGTGATCTGTTCAACTGCGACATAGAGCACGGCAAAGTCGCCGTTGAAGCTGGCATGTGAGGAGTTCCACATACCAATGTTGAGCCCCACTTTGTCAGCCCGTCGATGCAGATCTTGCCGAAGGCCACTGCCCAGAAGTATGAACACTGTGCAGCACCCAACATCGAAGATTTTGGTCTGCAATAGGATCATCATTGTCTTGCCCGAGTTGCACAACAAGATGGCAAGGATGTGACGCTGCTTGGCATGCATGCACTCGAGCAGCTCGGCCTGGGCTGTGCAAGTCCACGTCACATTCTTGTCATGTCAAAAATTGCGCAAGGCAGCCAACAGGGACGGATGAGGCATTACCAAAGAGATGGGACTGAGTACGTTGGTGATTGGAACAGTTGGCGGTTTGGGAAACCAGAGAGCAACAAGGGATGATATGATATCCATGAGCGGCTCCTCGAAGTCTGCCTTTGATATGAGCGGCGTCAACTGTAGGCTTTTGACAACGGCCTGTTTGATGGTGGCTACACTCAGATTAGAGTGTCAGGGGACGCCGCGCTCCTTGGGCACGCGACCATGCATGTGACCCACTGCACCCTCTCTGCCGACCCGTGCCTGCTCACCTGTCAATCACCCAGCCTCCTCCTCCTCCTCCAATCCTCATCTCCATCCATGCCAACATCCGCCCTCTTCCTCCTTCCCCTGGCCATCTCCCTCGAATCCCCGCAAGCGGTCTAGCCAAGCCCGATTCCTTGCACCAGGGAGTGCTACTGCCGTATGCACTCCTCCCCCTTCACTTCGGCCTTCTCCCCGCGGATGTGGTCTACTGCCGTACAGGCTCGTACCAGATGCCCTTGCGCTCATCCGCACCACCCCTCTTCCCAGTTGGGCATTGGTCCTTGCCTCCGATGTCTCCACTGGCTGGCCCGGCACTGGCCTGGCCGCTGGGCTCCTCCAGTGTGGCCTTCCACTGTTGGTGTCTCAGGAGCTGGCCATCACTGGCCCCTCTGAGCCACTCACTATCTTATCTGGGTTTGTCATTATCTACTTGTCATCTGCCATTGTTCCATGGCAGTGATATCCCATCATCATCAGTCACTTGTCACAGCTGACTATATAGTGTGACACCTGGGCACATGGATCCTTGAACTGTTCTCTAAGGATCCCCCTCTGTGCTCAGGTGAGTAGTATACCTCCCTTGTATTTGATAGTCTCTAAGGATCCCCCTCTGTGCTCAGACTCATGTGAGGTTGTTGTATGCTGTGTGCTCTCTTCCTTCGGGCTGGCAGGAGTTGCCCTTACATAGAGGTGCATTCTCCCGGGCCTGGGAGAGAGTGAGAAAGTAAAGGGAAAAATGAGGGGGAAAGGCATGAACCTGCGCCAGCAATGTTTGGCAGTAAGACATGTTGGGTGTCGAGATTTGAGGGCAGTTCCAGCATGATGGGATCGCCGCTGTCCAGCCCAGAGGTAGCTCCCCATGCACGACATGCTTTGATACAACCCATGATCTTCCATGGGTCAGACGCAGCCAAAGTGGATGTGTCAACACCGTACCGCATATGTCCCATTTGCGTGGAATGGTTCTGCAGCTCATCAAAGAATGAGTCGCCAATAGATTTGGAAAGGAATGGGTCGATTATATGGCAGCAAAACGTGCTGACCACCTTCCTGTAGTCCAGTATCTGCAGCCGGCATCCCAGCCCTGCTTCAGTCCAATCCCCAAGGCTGCTACTAATCTCCTCACCGGTGAAGTCGCGCTGCACGCCAGGCCAGAGGGACGTGTAGTAGCATTCAGCGTCTGCATGGCCTTTGAAGGTCAAGATCAATCAGCGCTCGAGAGGGCGAAAGATGGTGAGATTCCAGATCAGGTCTTTGGCGACAGATTTGACCAGGCAGTGCGGAATACAGTGCTTGTGGGAGAATTGCATGCTATTCTTCTCTAGCACGGCTATCAGGCAAAGTGCATGGTAGAGCAAGATCACGTTCTGGATGGTACCGCCAGCAATGTTACGCAGCAACTGCCTGGCAAATTTGGTCGCACGGACAGATGGGCCACAGGAAACAAGGGTCCGGACAGCCAAGATCATGCGAAGATGCTTGAGGTTGCCTAGAAGCTCGTGGCAGGGACCCAGCTTCCAGTGCAAGCATTTCCCCACAACGTACGTGAAGCGATCGGCCAGGTTGTCGTGAGACATGAGCCATTGCGGGTACAGCTCCCCCCACGCCTCAAAGCCATTTGTTGGAATGACAAGGAAACAAAAGCCCAGGGCAAAGTTTTGCGGCCGGTCTGTGAGCGTCTTGATCTTGAAGGGAGGGAAGCAAGAGGTTGGGATGCTGTGACAATCAACGAGAAACAATGTCAAAAAGAGAAGTGAATTCAAAGACTGGAGAATACAACCCAGTCGCTACAGTCACACCAGGGGATCATTAAAAAAAGATGCCCCAATCAAAGATTTATATTTTAAGTATTGTAGTACAAAAACTATGCTACGATAGGTTGCCCAATACTTTTAATATAATCAACCATCATCGGTTACCTGTTATATCAGCTATTGCATCCCAAAATGGGACCTACAATTGATTGCATATTAGGTCTGATCAAGACCACATTTTTTCTTGTCCTTTTTTGTAAGATATCAGGGCTCATTTATATTCAAGGTATGGTGGCATGATTTATTGGACTCAATCTCTCACAGAATGGGGTCTAGATCAATGGCTCAGATATCTGAGCTATTGCGGCCCGAGAACAGTCTGCCCAGATATCTCCAATATCAGGGTAATTCTTTTCTATCAGTCGGCGGCAATGTGCACCAATATCAGAGATATCTGAGCAGACTGTTCTTGGGCCACAATAGCTCAGATATCTGAGCCATTGATCTAGACCCCATTCTGTGAGAGATTGAGTCCAATAAATCATGCCACCATACCTTGAATATAAATGAGCCCTGATATCTTACAAAAAAGGACAAGAAAAAATGTGGTCTTGATTGGACCCAATATGCAATCAATTGTAGGTCCCGTTTTGGGATGCAATAGCTGATATAACAGGTAACCGATGATGGTTGATTATATTAAAAGTATTGGGCAACCTATCGTAGCATAGTTTTTGTACTACAATACTTAAAATATAAATCTTTGATTGGGGCATCTTTTTTTAATGATCCCCCGGTGTGAGTATTTATACCCAAATCCAGTTTGAGTCATATCTACAACTAATGAGTCATAAGGCTATGTACCGCATGGAGCACTGGTCATGGGTTGTAGTAGAACCTTCCGGAGCATATGTCGCACAGCCTCGAATCAATAAAGATAATCCCTGGAACCCCTAGCCCGGACCGTCTGACACCGTGATCCGTGATAAGATAATCCGTGCCGAGATAAGATAAGATGGTCAATGATAAGATAAAAAAGGGCTGAATTATGACAAAGTCGTTGGCATTGTGTGGCTTGGAGATGGGCAGTTGGGCGTAGTCAGGTCGCTGAAGCGCTGTAAAGATCTGCAAGGGTTCAGGCATGACACGTGGAACAAGCAGCGATGAGTCAACAGGGAAGAAACCATGGGCGTTAAAGCCAACAGACTGCCCCAGCACCCGGAATGAAGTTTTCGCAGTGCCTGGGGCTAGACCACACTGGGGGCGGTACTGGTGATTGACCCTGAGCGCTTCTGTCGCAAAGCCGTGATAGCAGTGTCCACAAAAGTGCAGTTCCTGCGGCGAAACAGAGAGCCCATAGATAGGACTTGTGAGTGAGGTGGGATGGATCCAATTGGCTGGCTCGATGAGGTCGTATTTGAGCTGTGCTCCATGCCCAGGTTTTTAGGGACATTTATTCCCGTCCAGTGCTCCACGAGGTGTCTGCCCAAGCAATGTGGAGACACGGCTTTGCCACATGACAGGCATATGACTAGCCTGAACGCAGTGTTGATTATGAGATTGAAGCAAGCAAGATTGTGCTCAGCATCTTTGGTGATCGTGTCCGCGCTGAGCACCACGCAAAGCGATGTTTTCAAGGGTGGCTGACTGTGCGGAATGGGTGGCTCGCCTGGCAGCCAAACCCTCTGGCGGATCGGTTGACACAGCTTTGCTTGTAGAGGTTGATGTTGTTGAGGGAGAGCGCGTGTCCCTGACCGTTTGACCAGGTGTAAATGGAGACGGAGGGGCGGCAGACACTTCCACCGCATGCTCAGTCATGCTGAAGTGTGCAGAACGCAGGGCATCTGTGTCAGCAATTGCCCCATTGTTGCAGAGATGGGCTGGGCATCTTCCAGGACAACACACGTGGTCCTGTAAAGTGTGAGGTGTAGGACAGTGTGGTATCTGCTAGACTAACCCCGAAGGTTTGGGCGTTGAGATGGGTGAATGCACAGCAAGTGCACGAGAAAACGCCCGCTTTGTTGCAATTGAAAAGCAAGGCCTGCATGTTGTCTGGGAACTTGGCTGAGACCTGAGCTTGTGTCATGGATTGTGGACACGACAAAAAGGCTCTACACAATCTTAAATAAGTACATGTGACGGATACATCCCCTTGATGTAGCATTACCTCATCCCGCTTACTCATGATCAGTTGTGGATAGTTATTTGTGTAAGTACATTGATCGTAGTATAAATAGTTAGATGGTAGATACAGTAAGACAGTCAATTTTCATTTGCTTATCCCTGTCACTCGTGGATTGACTACCCAGAAACTCGTGTGTCGGAACTTGTTTTAGGACGCTTCCGCCACATATTTTTGACAGTTAAAGCTAAATAACTCTTCGCTCTGCTCTGGACCCCGTGGATTGATCTCCCGCGCCCGCCGACTCTGCCAAAGACAAACCAACCCCATACCGTTGATACCATGCAACAACCAAACCCCCGCGACACCCACCCTGACCCCGGTCGTGCCCTGCGTCGCCGCAATTCCTGTGGCACCGTGATGACAACCGGGGAGCTGGCAGCGCTGCCGACCCGAATCAAGGAACGTCCTTCTACGCCAGAGCGGACTTACGCCCGCGTGGTCTCACCGGCCCTCATCACCTCCCCCAAGCCCGTCGATGCGTCGTTGACCGTCGGCGGAGACATAGCCAGTACCCCGTCCCAGGGGGAACGCCCAGCCCGTGAAATCACGGAGAAACCACCCCTGTCTGTTCAGACAGGAGAAATGTTCGGCAGTTTCCCCCCTTCAGTGGAGGAAATGGAGGACGAAGACGGTCCTTGGACATTGGCGACAGGAAAAACGGCGCGCACCCATCGAGAGTCCGCCGATAGTCGTAAATCGAGCACTGTTGGTAGACTTAGTCCTGAATTAGGCCACGTGCGCAATGACTCAGAGGACATTACCTCTATTGTGGATGAGGCTGCAGCGTCCATGTCCCCATTGACGCTCCGGCTCATCGCAGATTGCTATGCTAAGCTGGCTAGCGCAGTGGAGCAGAGAACTCCGGGCCCGGAGTCAGAGCTCCACGCAGACACCACCCCTGAATCTACGAAAGAGTCAGCGTTGGATGGTGATGGATCGGTAACCCCGGACGTCCGTCCCTACCGGCTAGGGGAAGCCGAGTGGTCAGACGGGTCTCAAATCCCCGAGCCCCTGGTTCCAAGCTCTTCCCAACGGAAGGGCAAAGGCCCCGATCCTGGAAATTGGGGTGAGCTCGACATCCATGACAGTGAGATGGAATACCAGCAAGATGCGCTGGCAGCGTTCGAGCTAGCCCGTATAAATCAATCAGAGCGTGAGCGCCTAGATGTTGGCCCCGCCTCCAGAAGTGAGCAAGGACACGGTTACCGTGGAGAGAGCCCAATCCACCGGGGACCGGTCGAGGCTCGACCGTGGGTTAAAGCCGAGGACGTTTCGGCGGAAAATAACCCTAACGACGTGTTCCTGCGCGAGTTCAACCGGATGCGGGAGCGATTGGCAGAGCTCGAAGATCGAGAGCGTCAACGGGGGACGGCCCAGATATCTGAGAATCAGAATCCACAAACCAACGCAGTGAATCGACGCACCACCATAGCCCGATCAGGAGCTGGAAGGTCGGGGATACCGGCGTCGGACGCTGAGAAGAAACGACCGGCTTCTTCGAAGGACGCTGCTGGGTTTGTAACTAGTGTGCTACAGGGGGTCAGCCTCCAGCCGTTGGACAACAGTGGATCCAGCCCTGAGTCTTCGTCTGGTGATTCCGAGTCGGATAGCGACAGTGACAGCAGTCGGTCGTCCAGCGGCTCAGAGCCAGGGAGTGAGAGCTCAGGATCAACCTCTGAGTCCGACGATTCGAGCGCCAGCTCGGCGCGTCCTCGCAGGAAGAAGTCGTCTAAAAAGAAAAAGATGACCAGGGGACCAAGGGGGAAGATGTTGGTAAAGCCCAATCCCCCAGCCCGTTATGACGGGTCAGAGAACGCCGACCTGTACACGCAGTTCGTCGATGAAGCGAATAGATATTGCGAGCTGGGGAACGTACCTAGAGCGCATCACGTGCCCATAATTGGGTCCTTCCTGGACGGAGACGCCAAGGACTTTTATAACCGCCGGATACGGGGCCACAAGCACAAATGGACCCTTAAGAAAATGCTCCGGAGGTTGTTGAAGTATTGCTTCTCCCTGGACTACCGACAGAAGCAGCGCAAGCGGCTGCATCGTTGCCACCAGAACGGCAAGTCCGTAAATAAGCACGTCCTGGAATTGGAGAGTATACTTCTCCAAATCGGGCTGAAGAAAGACCGGGAGCGCGTTGCGTTACTCTGGAATAGCTTCGACGCCGACATCCAGGAAGAGCTCTTCCGGTTTGGACTTGATCCTGAAAGGTCGAAGTGGAAGCGTGTGGTGAGGAAAGCGATCCGAGCCGAGAGGTTTCTCAGCCTTGACAAGCGACGTAAGGGAAAAGCCCCAGCAACCGTCATGGCAAGCACCGGCCCAGCCCAGCCAGGGCCCAGTCGAGACGAAAAGAAAAAACGGTTCTTCCCACGGAGGCGAGGGGACGTAATTAAGGCCGCTGCGGCCGCAGTGGTGCCACCTCGGGACAATGGGCCGAGGCCCCCATTTCGCTCTCCCCACACAAACGCCCCGGCAAGCTCCTCGAACAAGAGTCAAGAGAACTCGGTGGATCGTCCTTGGGAACGTCGACTTTCACCCCAGAAACGAGCAGAGCTGATGTCCCGGGGAGTCTGCTTGAATTGCGAGGAGAGTGGACACATGGCCCGTAGCTGTCCGAAACTGACCACGATGAGGTCCAGAATCAAGGGTAAACCGCCGGGCTTTGGAGCGCATGGCGTGAGCCTGCGGCTGGCCTCTCTAGGCGAAACCACGGAAGTTCTCGAGACCTTGAACGTGGCCAGCGTCTTCCCGCATGTCTTCCAGGATGACGGGGAAACACGGGAACAATTCTCAGACGCGTCCGAGTCTGATTCACACGACTGGGAAGACGTCGACGAGATCGAGGGGCTGGCTAGAGGGGTTTCGAGCGAAAGATGGGACTGCCCAGAGGTGGAGGCGCTGACAAGAGGCGTCGAGGCGTTGTCCCTGGGACCGACCACGGCGGAAACGAAACCGAAGCTGGAAATCCTTGACCACGCGATTGAAGCGCTGGAGCACGAATCGGAGGACCTGGAACCTACGGAAGACCTCGTGGGCGACTTAGTGGCGCGCTTCGCTGGCCTCGTGCTCCAAAGGTGCGCCCCGTTTCCTGGCGACGATGGCTCTGAACCCACAGAGGGCCGTTTTCTGGTCTACCGGGTGCACGGGAGTGACCGACACTGCATCCTGGACGCTGGTACCCCCTTAAGCATCCTAGAGGGCGACGATCTCGTTCCATCCATTTGGTTGGAGGACCCAAACTTCGAGATAGGGTGGTACTGGGCCCAGAAGTGTTATTTGGCACAGGGTATCCACCCGGACGCGCCGGGCTTGTCGCTGCCGGAGCGTTATTTCCGTACGTTGGGTGACTCGCTCCCCGCCATGACTCTGATCTTGCTACATCAGTATGATTCGATGAATAACGATGGAACCGCTTCGACGTTGGTGGCCGAGGAGGGGTCAGACGCCACTCTGGCCGTTCGCCGGGCAAGTGATATTAATCATGTATTACTTGAGCGAGACGCCTTGAAAAACCACTCATTCGATCTGCGTGAATGGCATGATCTATATTTTGGACGTAAGAGCCAGCCCTGTCTAAACTCAGCGCCATCCAATGACCTGAGCCTCAATGGAGACAAGCTCCCGGCGCTAGTCGGTGACGGTGACTCGTCGGATGACGAGGACAGCGACTCGGATGATCTGATAAGAAGTGTGTGGGTGGACGTAGTGCTTGGGGCAGATCTCGCCCTGAGCCCAAATCCATCCGACGGAGCGATTCGACCTCATTCAGTTCCTCGAGGGGAATGGGCAAGAGAGACACCCGGAGATTGAATTGAGCGCTGGGGCCGAGAGAGGAATCGGGCAACACACCAGTCTAGTCCGAGATCTCCTTGTGGCCGTCAGATAGGCGACTTGCAGGCAGAAGGCGTCCGGAGCTTGCTGGAGTTTAGCCAGCCGTATCCAGGTGACGAGAGAATTGACCGGGACTCGACCGTTTGGAATTATAAGCGTTTCTGTGTGTACCCTTCATGGTGTGAGGATGAATACACTGTGACAGACAAGGTCAACGGACTGACTGTGCATATGTCTAGACACTTACTTTCAGACGTTCGCTTCGAGGTGGCAGCATGGTATGCCGGCCAAGTGCGTGAGCGCTTGCACATAGGTGCGGAGGAGGAGGCCTCAATTAGACCTATCCACCATGTGGCTATTGACGACCTGCTTGGAACGCAGCTTGGTTTCTACATGGATGAGATGGCGGTTACGCATCCAGCCGAGTGCAGTAAATACCGGAATATTGAGCCGTGCTATTGGAGCGACGAGACGGAGGGCGAAACACTCCCCTTCATGTACTCAATCGAGGTGGAGACACCTAACGGTAAAACTGGGCAGATTGGCATATTCCGAGAGCAACTGCTTAACCCTAAGCTGGACCTGATCAATTGGCTGGTCAGGGCGCAGGAGAGGCGCTCACTGCGCGAAAACGCAGAATCAGCCTTAACGCAACTACCAAGCGACCGATGGTGGCTTACCTATTCGAGGAACGGACTGGAAGCCGAGATGGGTCCGACGGTTACATGCCACAGCGTCCAGATCCCGCCGGATAAGATGGCCGGTTTGTCACGTACGGCTTTGTTGCCTCGATCAAAGGAGACGGTGGTCGCCAAGCCGCTGATTGTGGTGGTCCAAGTGAACGGTCACCCGCTGCGGGCACTGATTGACTCGGGCTCGCTCGGGGATCTTATCTCCACGACGGCTGCAGATCAACTGAGACTGCCGTTGAGTAACCTAGCCGAGCCGCTGACCCTCCAGTTGGCGGTGCAGGGTTCCCGCTCAAGGATAAATCACACGACTGACGTGAGCGTGAAATATCAGGACATAAACGAGATACGCACCTTCTTCGTGGCTAACATCAGTGGCTACGACCTCATTCTCGGAACCGCTTGGCTGTTCCAGCACCGGGTAAGCATAGGGTTTAACCCCTCTCGAGTCTGTGTTGGGAGCGTGAGGGCGCTGCCACTGGAAGGTGTGGCCACTGCTCGCCTGCATACAGGCGCCATGGGCGTCAATTTGGATGAGTTACGGCAAGCTCGCGAAGAGCTAACTGAGTATGCCAGAGATGTGTGCCGCGTCGCAGCTGAAACAGAGCTGCCTCCCTTGCGGAAAATCAACCACACAATCCCCCTCATTGACCCGGAAAAGGTTATGCCTTGGCGTATGTCGAGGTGCCCAGACGCACTCCGACCTCAGTGGGATGAGAAGCGTCGCGTGTACCTGAAGACAGGGCGTTGGAAAATCACAAACGCGAGGAATACCGTGCCTATGTTGTTAATACCCAAGGCAAAGTCAGACCCACCCCGCCTGCGCGTGGTAGTGGACCTTCGGGAGCGAAACGCGAACACTCGCAAGATGGCATCGCTGTCATAGTTCGGCCACTTTTTCATCTTATCATCAACGATCTTATCTTATCTTGGCACAACTTATCTTATCACGGATCACGGCATCAGACGGTCCGGACTAGGGGTTTCAGGGGATTATCTTCATCGATTCGAGGCTGCGCGACATATGCTCCAGAAGGTTCTACTACGACCCATGACCAGCGTTCCATGCGGTACATAGCCCTATGACTCATTAGTTGTAGATATGACTCAGACTGGATTTGGGTATAAATACTGTAGCTACTTGGTTGTATTCTCCAGTCTTCGAATTCACTTCTCTTTTCGACTTTGTTTTTGGGTTGATTGTCACATAATTCGAAGACTCCCCTCATACCCTCCTACCTCATACCTCTTACCCTGCATCTTGCACCGCTACGCCCGCTATATCCTCTTAACCCTTATCACCCCACTCACCCTTTTACCGAATCATCTAGTCGTACTCCACTATCGCAGTGAAGGGTTCATATCAAGCAAACAGCACCAGGCCACGGGTAACGTTGAGCCCGACCCAAGCCTTACGGTAGCTACAAGGAGTGCTGCGGAGACCTTCGGGAAAACGCACCTCGGGATCATCGGGCACGTGAAGAGCTAGGCCCGGGATCTTTTTGCTAGCAAAAGAACCTTTCCTCGAGTGCTTGTACAGCACACGAATCCACCATTTCGTACCGATTCCCATCGTCGTCTGGGAGTCCATCCCCTCCCCCCATCGTACCATCGTCGCCCGATCTGGCGCACCAAAACCAACCCGGGCCCTCCGACCCCTACCTCGCCCTCCCACCGCCTGAAGACGAGATCCCCGACCTCGACGAACTGCCCTCCGAACAACCACCCTCACCTCCACCTCACACGCCTACCCCTACCATGTCAGGGCATCACCGCATCACCCTCGCCGCCAACCCCCCCTACTTCGATGGCGACAAGTCCAAATACCTGGGCTTTGTGGACGCGTGCACCACTTACATCGGTGCCTATCGATCGGAGTTCTCACAAGATGAGACCAAAATCCTCTTTGTCCTCTCCTACCTCCGTAACGAGAACGGCACGAGCTGCGCTGCCTCGAGATGGGCGATGAACTGGAAGCAGCACAACTTCGATGGCTTCCAGGGACTGAAGGCAGGAGTCACATCAAAGAACTTCCTGGAGGAGTTTCAGAGGGCGTTCGGGGACTCCAATGCGGAACAAGTCGCCGCTGCTCGGCTTATGGCCCTGCGTCAAAACAAACGGTCCTTCGCGGACTACATCTCCGACTTTGAGATGTTGGCCGCGGATGCAGGCTACAATGTGGTTGACACCACCGACGACAAAGGCGAATACAAGAAGGGGGACCAGGATAATATCCTCATCGAGTTCCTGGAGCGCGGACTCAGCAGCGAGATCGCCAGCCGTCTCTACAACACCGGTGTCCCTCTGCCCAAGGCCTATGGAGCGTTCAAAGCCTGGTGCATCAACATCGAAGCCAATGCTCTGCGTGACCAGCTGCGCAAAGCGTCGTATGGGCACCCCACACAACGACCACCTCCCCAGTTCCGTCCCCAAACGGCACCAGTGGCGCCCACACCCGCTCCGGCCCGACCCGCTGCCAACGAACCGGTTCCGATGGAAATCGATCGTACCCACGCCCGCGGCCGCAATATCATCTGCTACAACTGTCAGCAGCCCGGGCACATTGCGCGGAACTGCCCGGAGCCCAAGAAGAAGCGCACGTTCTTCAATCGGGCCACAATGCTGGAAGAAATCGAGAACGGGGACAAGGACAACGAGTTCCTGAAAGAGATTGCCGAGAAGCTGCGCGAGAAGGGTTTTTGAAGCGCTCCACTCCTCTAGCCAAGGAGGTGGAGCGTCCGGACTATGGACGATTTTCTGTACTTGTTTCGATTAAAGATACGGACGATATTTCATCTACATACACGATCTCAGACTCACTACGTACAAATATTCACGATTTTCTTATTGCCGAGATGGAAAAAGAACGCCAGGAAAAGATAGCTCTAAATAGAAAATACTTACAAGATAAGAAGGATCAGAAAGCTGCAGACAAATTATTTTTGGACTCCTACGTATTTATGGCTCGTGGAGAAGGAACCACGTCAACAAAGACCGAAAAGGGGAGCATCGCTCCGAAGGCTCGATCCTTGGAAAAGGAGGAAGCGCCCAAAGAATCTGCCAAAATCGAGGTTCCAGAAGCACCCAAACGCACCAGGGTGCCAGATGCCATCCAGAGGAAATTGGCGACCGAGAAACAGAAGGGCCCCCAGCCCAGCAGATTGGCGCAGGAATTGCGCAGTTACCAAGCCGAAAGAAAGAGGCATTCGATGGACGTATATGTCCAGATCACGGGCCTGGACTCAGGGAAAACGCGTGGAGTCAAGGCGCTGCTCGATAGTGGCTGCAGTACCTGCTGCATCGACACCGACTACGCACGGGCAGAAAAGCTGGATATCCAAGAGCTTCCGCAACCCATTGTGGCTCGTAACGCCGACAACACCGAGAACATCAGCGGTCGGATCACACACTACGTCGACTTGAGAATGAGAATCGGCCCTCATGTGGAGACACGCACGTTCCTTCTGACGTGTCTGGGAAAAGCCCGGATCTTCATCGGTCTGGATTGGCTGACGGAACACAACCCCGAGGTGGATTGGCAGGAGCAGACAATGAGATTCAGCCGATGCCCAGAGCAATGTCAAATGAGGGGTCACGAGGAGCACCAAGCGATGATCGACATGGATGCAATTGACCTGGACGCGGGTGCACCGGATCTGGAAGAGGGAGAATCGATCTTGTTGATCGACTTTGGAAAGGAGGTAGACCTACGGCTGAAGGAAACGCCGGCGCAGAAATTCGCAGAAGAAGCGGAAAAGGAGAAGGAGAGAATGACCGAGGGAAAGATTCCAGATCAATACCGAGAATTCGTCAAAGTATTCGCCAAGGAATCATTCGACTCGCTACCGGACCGACGAGCATGGGATCATGCGATCGAGCTCAAACCAGGCTCCAAAGCAGTGGACTGCAAGGTGTACCCCTTATCGAGAAACGAGCAGGTCAAACTCGACGAGTTCTTACAAGAGAACCTAGCCAGCGGACGAATCAGGCCATCAAAATCACCCATGGCATCGGCATTCTTCTTTGTCAAGAAGAAGGATGGCTCGCTACGGCCTGTTCAAGATTACCGGAAGCTGAATGAGATGACGATCCGAAATCGGTACCCGCTACCGCTGATTTCCGAACTGGTCCACAACCTGTGCGGCGCCAAGTTCTTCACCAAGCTAGACATCCGGTGGGGATACAACAACGTACGGATCAAAGAGGGCGATGAGTGGAAGGCTGCGTTTCGCACAAACCGCGGACTTTACGAGCCCTTGGTTATGTTCTTTGGTCTCACAAATTCCCCGGCAACTTTCCAAAACATGATGAACGACATACTCCGGGAACTGATCAACGAGGGACATGTGGTAGTTTATCTGGACGACATACTAATCTTCACAGAAAATCTGGATGAACATCGACGAATCACCAAACGGGTACTCGAGTTGCTCCAAAAGCACAAATTATACCTGAAGCCGGAAAAGTGCGAGTTCGAACGCACGGAAATCGAATACCTGGGTGTAATCATTGGACACAACTCGATGCGGATGGACCCTGTCAAGATCAAGGGCGTGATGGAATGGCCGGAACCAAAGAGCGTCAAACAAGTCCAAGCCTTCCTCGGATTCACAAACTTCTATCGACGTTTCGTTCGGGGATATGCGGAGGTCGCCAAGCCGTTGACGCGGCTGACAGGGAAGGCAGGATGGTCTTGGGGTCCGGATGAACATGCGGCGTTTGATGGGTTAAAGAAGAGAATCGCGGAGGATGCCGTCTTAGCACTGCCAAATGACACTGGCCAATATCGTCTGGAAGCCGATGCTTCGGAAGGGGCAACAGGATCAGTTTTGAGCCAAAACCAAGACGGCATTTGGCGCCCAATCGCATTTATTTCGCACGCATTGACCGAAACCGAGCGAAATTATGAAATCTACGACAAGGAGATGCTCGCAATCATGTTATCACTTGACGAATGGAGGCAGTTGCTCCTGGGAGCCACGGAAACGTTCGAGATCTTCACCGATCATCAGAATCTCGAGTACTTTCGGAAGCCGCAGAAGCTCAATCGACGGCAAGCACGATGGATCACGGAGTTGGCGGAGTTCGATTTCACCTTACGACACCGACCCGGCGCACTCAACCGCAAGGCGGACCTCCTGTCCCGACGAGCAGATCACAATCAGGGCAAGAACGACAACAAGGACGTCACGCTACTGAAGCCCGAGTTCTTCCGATCACAAGAAGTCACATTCGAGGGACAGGATCAGCAGCTAATCGACGAAATCAAGGCCATTCGATCAATTGATGGAAGCGTCAAGGCGGCCTTAGAGAAGTCACTCGCCGGATGGAAGAAGGAAGAGGGGCTTATCACGTACCATGGGAAGCTCTACGTACCAAGGGACGAGGAGTTGCGGGACAAAATCATCGGACTACACCACGACACCCCTTTGGTCGGACACGCCGGGATCAACCGAACGCAGGAGATGGTGGAAAGGAACTACTGGTGGCCAAGGATGGGAAACCAAATTCGGAAATACATCCAGACGTGCGAAGCGTGCCAGCGGACCAAGACCAGAAGAGCCAGGACAGGGAGTTTGCACCCGCATGCAGTTCCAAACGCGCCGTGGGAAATCATCTCCATGGATCAGATCGGACCCCTGCCGGTCAGTAACGGGTATGACGCAATTCATGTGTGGTGTGACACCTTCACCAAAATGATCCATGTCGAACCAATTAGTACTGACATCAGCAGCGAAGGAGTAGCACGATTAACCAGGGACCGAATCTTCCGCTATCACGGGGTCCCCCGCAAAATCATCACTGACAGGGACTCTCGATACATCAAGGGCTTTATGAAGGAAACGAATCGGATGTTGGGCGTGGAAATGAATCCGGGGACCGCATATCACCCCATCACGGATGGGCAGACGGAGCGTATGAATCAGGAGATCGAACACTATCTCCGCATTTACGTCAACTACCATCAGACGGACTGGTCGGAGTGGCTGGGAATGGCGGAGTTCGCATACAACGACAAAATGAACACGTCTACCAAAATGTCGCCGTTCTATGCTAATCACGGATATCACCCATGGAAGGGAGTGGAGCAGCGGATGGAATCAAGGAACGAGTCGGCGGAGGAATTTGTAAAAAGGATCAAAGAAATACAAGACGAAGCAAAAGCAGCATTGGAAAAAGCAAAAGAAAAAATGAAAAAATACTACGATAAACAAAGAAAAGAAGTTCCGGAGTTGAAGGTTGGGATGAAGGTGTACATAGAAGGGGAAAATATCGAGACGGATAGACCATCAAAGAAGATGAGCGACAAGAGATTGGGACCATACGAGATACTGGAGAAGGTTGGAGCGGCCGCATGGAAGCTGGATTTGCCGGACACGGACCGAAGACACCCGGTGTTCAACGAGTCACTGTTGACACCCTATCACGAACCACCCCCCCATCGCCGAGAGAAGAGACCCGTGGCCAAGATGATCGGAGGAGCAGAGGAGTGGGAAGTCGAAGAAATCGTGAAAGAGCGAAAAGTCGGCCGAGGAAAACAGTACTTGGTCAAATGGAAGGGATGGCCGCACAGCGAGAACACCTGGGAACCATCACGTCACCTTACCCACGCAAAAGACGTCCTGAGAGACTGGCAGAGGAAACAATCAAATCCAGACACACGCATTCGCCTCCTGCCAACGCTCGAAGCTGGACACTGGGACTATCTCATTCATCGCTACCAGCCCAGGGACGAGCGCCTTCCATACCCCCAACGACAGCTCTTCGACCCTTACGAGAACGTCTTCTTACCCATTGGCCTGGTCGATGAGGACATCGACCCTAGAGAGGGGGTAATGTCATAGTTCGGCCACTTTTTCATCTTATCATCAACGATCTTATCTTATCTTGGCACAACTTATCTTATCACGGATCACGGCATCAGACGGTCCGGACTAGGGGTTTCAGGGGATTATCTTCATCGATTCGAGGCTGCGCGACATATGCTCCAGAAGGTTCTACTACGACCCATGACCAGCGTTCCATGCGGTACATAGCCCTATGACTCATTAGTTGTAGATATGACTCAGACTGGATTTGGGTATAAATACTGTAGCTACTTGGTTGTATTCTCCAGTCTTCGAATTCACTTCTCTTTTCGACTTTGTTTTTGGGTTGATTGTCACAATCGCCATTGCCAGATATGGATGGCATATTACGGCGCGTCGCTAGGTGCAAATATCGCTCGCTCATCGACGGCCAAGATGCTTATGAGCAGATCCGAGTGATCCCTGAGCATGTTGACCGGACAATGATGACCACGCCGGATGGGAATATGGTCAGCCTAGTGTTACAGCAGGGTGACTGCAACGCGCCAGCCACGTACCAATCGCTAATGAATTACCTATTTTCTGACTATATTGGTCGTTTCATGGACATGTATTTAGACGACATAATCATATATTCAGAAACGCTGGAAGACCATAAGCGACACGTAAAATTAGTAATTGATGTGCTACGGCGAGAGAAGCTCTACCTCGGGGAGAATAAGCTTCAGTTTCTGAAGCAGGAACTGAAAGTCTTGGGCCGCGTGGTCACAGACAAGGGTATCCGAATGGATACAGAAAAGGTGGACACAGTTTTGAACTGGAAGACGCCCACGAATCGAGACCTCCTGCGCGGGTTCTTGGGCTCGGTCGGATACTTGGCAGACGACCTTGCTC